TTTCCCCCAAAGCCCCAGTAGATAGTTGTATGTCATAGCTGCACATCCTTCTAGTTGCTGTATGTGGGACGCGGCCCCAGCATGGCCAGAGAAGCGGTGCGTCGGTGTGCACCTGGGATCCGAACCCGGGCCGCCAGCAGCGGAGCGCGCGCACTTAACTGCTAAGCCACGGGGCCGGCCCTTAACACAGGTTTTAAATATCATTCAGGAAAAAAAAGATTTGACACATTTTCAATCCCCTAACTTGACTGCTTTTAGGTAATTTAGGGAAACAATATTTGTGTAACAAATTAGATATAATCATTTTAGAAGAGACAAGTGATTTTCTGTCTCAATATGAGTAGTGAAATCAAGGCAGCTTGAATTCTAATCCGGATGAATATTGCCTTCTTTGCTTAAGAAAACTGCATGATGGCCCAGCGTTCAAAGATAAATCTGCCTCTGCGTCTGCAAATTGACACCATCCTGTTCTCTTTCTTTCCAGATCAGTGGAGCGTAGATTGGCTGTTAAAATAAACTTTAAAAAAGTAATCTACTCGAGTAGGAAGAGAACAGTTACCTAGAGAATTTGGTGAACTCAGATGCACAGAGGCTGCGAAGCATTAAAGGCTTCGGTTAAAACACTGTGCGTGTGTGATGGGTTCATACCTCGCTACCTATATTAAGAGAGAACACGGAACACTCCCCAAAGATAATCAAACGAAGGCTAAGACTCAAAACCAAGATCTGTGGGCCCGTCCTTTCTTTTTGTAACTGCACACAGTGGCAAAGACAAAAGGTACGACATTTCGAGGATACAATCAGCAATTTGCTTCTTTCTCCCCGCTATTAAACCACCAGCTCCCAAAGTCTGTGTAACTCCTTAGATTTTGTTTTAAGGAAAAGACTTCTTCCTTCTAGATCATCCAACATAAAAGTCCGAGTGATAAGTCTTGCTCTAAAAGAAGCTATATTTGAATTTGGAAAATACCATGAAGGCCCTCAACTTTGTAGCTCAATGTTTCTCATTTAATATTATATTTATTACTTGAAAATGCTATTCTTTAACCGTTAACATTTTTTAGTGTTTCAAGAAGGCATTTATAATCAATGAAAATTCTAGAAGACTTAAGTAGATAAATTATATCCTAAGGAATAAAGAGATGTCTCAAAGGATGATTAAGAGCGATAGTGCGTAAGTCCACATTTATCTCCTGAAACTATAACGTCACAAGAATAGGATGGAAGTTTTCCAGTTTAAGGGTGTTTTGCATGACCTGATTTCAGTCTCCTGATACAAAGCCACGTTGGCTACAATTGCTGCAGGTGTGTTGACAATGAACCTGACAATACTGATTTGCAGCATGGATGTAGGAGGAGGGGGTGTCACTAGCTAACAATTCAATGTGGCCTAAAAAAAGTGTTCTATGGGATTTTAAATTAACTGCAGGATTAAATGTTAGAGATTTGGGAAATCTCCAAATTCTAGCTTTTAGTTTAAACTGGATATGTGATCCCAGAAAGATGCTCTCTCCCTCCATCATTTAGTGGGTAGATTATAATTTAGAATTACAGTCTGGATTCCTGAAACCCTTCATTAGTTAGAACGCAAAACATGAGGAGTAAGATACACTGCTCACTGACCCAGCCCACTTGGTCAGGGTGGCGTCAAAGCCCCAATACCTGGATTTAGTCTTGAGACTTAGCGAAGCCGTTGTCCCCTCACCCCCAGCCCACCACAAAGGGCGCCTAAGGCCACTTACAGTTTTTCGTAATGATCGTTTAATAAACTATGCCAAGGAACACTGTGGTACGGCTGCCACTTGAGAGCCAGAGAGCGCGGGTCCTCAGGCACCACCTCCTGCCCCTCACAGCTGCAGTCTTGCCCTTCACTCCTGTGACTCCTGCTCGTCACTGCAAAGAAACAGGTGTGAGATCCTTCCTTCGCGGCTGTTCTTCCTAGACCCACAGACAGCTGCAGGGAGCAAACAAACAGGCCTTGTCAGAGGCAGAGCCACCGTGTGGAAAGGGACAGGTGTTGGGAGGCAGGAGGTATGAGGCCAGGCTTTTTTCCTCATCTGTGAGAAGGGCGGCTTTGGGTCAGTGGTGGGCACCTGTTGGACACTTTGCCTCAGCATCTGTCTACCCTGCTCCTCACGTCCAGGCAGGGTGGTTCCAGTGACGTCCACTCCCAGCCTGCGGGTGCTGACTCTCCTCCATGAGGTCTGAACCTGCGGGATCCACGCCCCAGAGCTGCTGGCACCATTTGGGGCCATGAGGGAAAAGCCGGTCTGAGAAGGAAGCCAGCGCGGCAGAAGGCACGGCTGAGAATGAAGGGTGCCCAGTCCTGGTGGCATGATTTGAGTTCTGGGATCCAATCCTAAACTCTTGGGTTACAGGAGCCAATAAATCCCCCGATTTGTTTTTGCGTTTGTTTTTTGCTTAAGGTAGTTTGAAGCTTTTCGGGTTTGGTCCTTTGTTTCTTTGTTTTTGTTAATTGCAACCAATACATTCTAGTTTGTCGCAGGTCCCTGTGGTATCAAGACTCTGTGGTCCAGCCAGCTTTCTGAACTTAGAGGAGTTATTCCCTCACTCAGTGTCTTACTGCCCTCAACTGCAAAACAGAAATCAGAACAGATATCCTGCCCATCTTGCACCATCACACAGCAGAGAGAACGTCATAACACAAGAGGAAGCGCTGTCAGAGGTGACACAAGAGAAAGCACCAGAAAGGATCTTGTCAGAATGCAGTATCGACTACAAGTAATTGCTACACTTGTATGTCAAAAATGGCCAAATAACAGCAATTTCACACGGGCAAGCTGCTGTTTTTGCACAATCTTTGCAAGTTGTTTGTCTTAATTTGAGACAAACTGTACCATCAACCGCAGACGATTTTTATGTAAATTCTGGTCCGTTTGCTGCTTCCCTTTTCTTTTAGCTCCCACCTTCACTCACACCTGCCACCAGGAGTGAAGGGGAGTGGTGTGCTCAAGGTCAGCCCAGCTGTGAGCACCAACACGACCCAGCACACAGAGCTCCCACGCGCCCCTGCGGAGCCTCAGCCCGCGGAAAGCGCAAGGGTGACTGGCTGTTCCTTCCCGCATCTCGCTTCCCTGCTCCACACTCTTACTGAGGCCTTCCTAAAGTAAACAAATAACAGGGCTGCTTCAGGTGGCTTGTGATCCCAAATGTCACAGAAAATGTTTTCCTGGGGTATCACTGTTAGATTGCACCTAAGCAAAACATCTATTTTTCGTTTTTTGTAAACAACCATTTTGGAAAGTTTTCTCAAAATCCTGAAAAACTTTTCCCAGTTAAGAATACAGGAGGTCAGCAATGCAAGGAGCTCTTGGTGCCGTCACACCTCTGAAAGCTGGCCTAAAAACTTTTCAAAAAAACAAACAAAACAAAAACCCTTCCACGGTTCTCCTGCTTACACCAAATTCAGAGAAAGGGAGAGACTTTCCATCCTTGCTGCCTCTCCACGATGGGGCGAGGGGGAGGGGGTCAGGAGCCTGGAGTCTGGAATCGGATGGACCTGGGTTTGAATCACAGCTCTCCTAATGGGGACACAATCTTAGGAAAAGGGCTGAAGGTCTCTGGGCTTCAGTGTCTCCATCTGCAGAATGGGTGTAATGAGATACTACCCCCAGGGCTGTTGAAGGGATCCGCTGAGTAATGTCTGGGTGCTTAGCATGGGGTCTACCACCAGGAAGAGTTTAAACAACAGTGCCCTTAGTTAGTGTTGGTGGCACTGTCATTATCACACATGCTTGTTTCAGCTTGGGTGACTCAGTTATTCCCAAGACGTCTTGGCAAATACTTGTGTTCTTGGACTCCATGGTAACTCTGTCTGATGTGAAATAACTAACTAACAGCCACCAGCTAACTCGGGCCCCTTCCCATCCAAGCGTGGTGGCAGCAAGGTCAAGGTGTCAGGGGAAGCAGCCCAAGACCAGCTCCACTCTCCCAGGTGCTGGTGGGGAGGGCGGGCAGGGGGCAGGGGGCAGGGGCACTGTCCTCAAGGGTAAGGCATTTCCTGCCCTTTCTCATCACAGCAGCAAGGGTATCGGGCAGCCACTCCAACACGACTGACCCAGTCGTGGCTTCCCCAGGAGCTGGCCGTCAGCTGGTGGACGAGGGACGGGGATCTGGGACCACGAGCCCACACTGAAATTCCAGGCACAAGCCTGGGCCCAATACTGGGATTTACTATTACCAACACTAACAATAATATCTATGTCTCCTGTGTGTTTCTGCACCACAGGGACTACCTCAGACACTTGAGGTTTCTCATCAACCCATCAACTCCCCTTCAAGGTAAGGATCCCTGTTTGCCAATAAACTTTCTTTATTGTGGTGTAATGTTCATGAAGAAGAGTACACAGATCATCAGCCACAGTCTGATACTTTTTACAAGATGAATTACCCTGGGTAACTACCACTAGATCAAGGAACAGGAGGCTTCCAGCCCTCCAGAAGACACCTCATGCCCGCTTCGCTCTCGACTTCCTCCTGCTGGGGAATAATCACTATTCTGAAATCTAACACCATAAGGGAGTTTAGAGAAATGGAGTAATCTGACATGTACTCTATGTGTTGGCTTCTTTTACCCAACATTATGTTTATGAGATTCACTCGTTATTGTTGCACATGGCAGCCATTTGTTCATTTTCATTGCTGTATAGTACTCCATTGTAAGAATATACCACAGTTTATTGCCCTTGACGGCCACTTGGTTTGTGGTTACATAAGTCATGCTACTGTGGGTGTTTCTGTGCGTGTCTTTCAGTGGGCATGTGTACACATTTCTATTGGGTATATTCCTAGGAGTGGAGTCACTGATCCACAGGGTGTGTTTTAGTAGATGCAGCCAAACAGATTTATATAAATTATATACAAAGTGCTTACGAGGTAAGGATTCTTAATCTCACTTAACAAATGTGGAAACTGGGGTTCAAAGACCTGAAATAACTTGCCCAGTGTCACAGCCGTTAAGCGAACGAGTTGGGATTCAAATCTGCCTCTTCCCTTCATGCTACACGGAGGATTTCTGGAGAAAACGTAACAGAAGAGAGAAGCAGATGTGTGAAGGCAGCAAGTCTCAATCCCAAGATGTGTGAATGCCCAAGTCTCAATCTTTCGGAGAAAATCATAGAATGTCTTCCAGAATATTTTCTTATACATTACTTTTAAAAAATCTTGGAAATGGGTATGCTAGAAATTATCATTCTCATTTGATAATCAAGAAAAGTCAGGCTTGGAAAGTCCCCAGTTTCTGGAGAGATGAGAAGATACTTTTCTGACTGTCCGGTGTGAATCCAGCTAGTGCTGGGGCCAAAGGTCACGACTCAGGCCTAAAAACTCCTTTAGTATTTGAGGTCAAACCATACAAGGCCATGAACCCTCTCATATTTGGGGTCCTGACCATGTGGGGCCGGGACCAGCTAGCAAGAGGCTGCCCGCCAGCTGCTTTCTCTCTGAGATTTTACACCTGCCCACAGCAACTACTAATTCCACGCTGTGAGCCCTACAGATGGGGTCTTGGGACTCTTGGCCAAAGTGGACCGTTTGGGACGAGGTCACCAGAGAGCCTTCCTGATGGATTCAGTTTAGAACATCTTCTCCCCTCAAGAATCCTGCCTGTATGACCAGCATATGCTCCTCTTCCTCTACCCATGTGTCGTCTCCCCAGGACCTTTGTAAAACCTCATGGCCTCTGCAACATCAAATACGAGTCCTCCACTAGAAAACTCTTGCTGAAAATACAAATTGTAATGAAAACATGGCATTTGGATTAACTAAGATTTCGTCTATTTTCTTGCCCTGGGAACCTGCTCATTTTCATTCTGGAACCGCTGTTTGGAGCCAGTTATCCTCAGTCAGCTTTGCAGTGACCTCTGAGTAGGACTTAACGAGGATTCAAGGTTTCCTACCTGTTGGGACATTTCTAACGTCCTCCGTGACTGCTCTCTGGACGTGGTGGGAATGAGTGCCCTCTCCAGGGACAGGGCGGAAACCCTGACAGGGAGGAGCTGGACTCTGGAATGGCCAATCTGATGAGGAAACACTGGGAAGGTTTGGGTGGCTTGCCCGGGACTCTCAGGGAGCTGGCGCATCCATGGGAGAGTCAACAGGTGGTTCCCTCGTCTGGCTAAGAGTTTATTCAGCCTTTTGTGTTTGAGAACTGTAAATTAGCTGCAGGCTGGGTGCAAGGATCCCTGAAGACATTGGAGTGTCCTCACATAGGAAGGTGGATGGAGAGCTCAATATCATCTGGAAAGGGGATTTCAATTAGCATTTTGTGTTTCTAGGGTTAAATAAGCAAAATCGAGCAACTGCTGGCCATGGTGGATCCATGTAAAAGAAAAGCAGGCAGTGAGAGCTTCAGTTTGTACCAGGGCCGATGCCCAGCTCGGTTCTGACAAGCTCACCCAGGGGTGGTGATGTGTGGGACTGGTGCAGAGGGTGAAGTCATTGTCCACTGACGGACCCACAGCCCCTGCTGCAGCTGTGGCCACCCATCCCTGAAGGCACCAGCAGGCTCCAGGGGGCACAGAGGACCCGCTCTTACCGTGTGGCTGGGAAATGCAAAGACAGCAACTCAAGCCGGTGAGAGAGCCACATGCAGCTCCTCTCGGGGCAGCATAAACCTCTAGAGTTTGGGGGGCAACAGTGGGAGGGGAGCCGCAAGAGGGAAATCTTGGGCTTCTTGCCAAGCTGACGCATGAGAATAAAAGAGAGGTGGCTTGGCTCCTGAATTTGAGGTACTGTTCACGCTGCCTACCTTGGATCATGCACAGTGGCTAACAGATCCAGCACAGAGCATCATCCTTTTCCCTAGAAAGTGCCATAGCATTTGCTCTGAAAATTCTGAATTCAAGGCTTCAGACTCAAAAAATCCAATTTGTTCTCAACTTGATCAGGCCTCTAAGCTCAAAACACGGTGTGTCTCATGTTATATAAGACAAAGAATGAGATAGGCTGATCCCTTGGGCATCAGATGGTTGTGCTACTAGACTTCTCAAATGATTTTACAACATTTCGAAGATCTACTGGGAACCTGTTGACTTGAAGCGAGCGCCTGGGAAGCTCAGCTTTCTGCCTTCCTGCTCCCCTGGAGAAATCCTCTAAAGCCTTGCTCCTCAGAGAACTTTCCACGAGCCAGCAGCATCGGCACCAGCTGAGAGCTTGCTAGGAAGGCAGACTCTCAGACCCCACCCAGGCTTGCTGACTTGGAATCTGCATTTTACCAAGACGCCCGGGTCATCGTGTGCACACTACAGTCAGGAGGGAGCAAGGCTACGAGCACACTGGCAGGCTCCTGGAGGTGCTGCCACACTGCACAGCCTCCCCAGGCCTGGAGTCGGGTCCTGGAATTGGAAGGACTAGTGTTTCATCTCCACCAGAGAGGGGACGGCGTCTCTTCCTGGGAGCCCCTGGACGACCCCACCTTAGATCGCGCGAATCATTACGTCAAGAGGGAAGAAAGAACTCCCAGAGCCTGTCACTGCCCTTCTGTGAGACAGAGAATACTTTTGTAGGGCTGCTCCAAGGCTGGTAAGAAACCCTGATTTCACGGCCCCGGGTTGGCTCACTTGGTCTGGAGTGGTGGGCACACATCCGGCAGTCCCCCGAGCCCTCCGGCGCCTGTGGGCACTTTCTCTTCTGGGTTGGTGGCAATGAGGCTCTAAGATCAAGAAACCACAATGAAGGTTAGGGTTCTTCTTTGCTCTCCACGTTACATTAAATCGATTTAATTTACCAGGTCTCTGCTCCCTGCCTTCCTAAGATTAATTCTAGTAGTTAAATTTACTTGGGCCCTTCTCGTCTGCAGTACCAGGTCCATGCGTGGAGCAGACAGAACAGGACCCTATTCCACGAGCCCCACTGGTCTGAAATTCATTCTCCTTTACCCAGTGGATCTGAGATTCACCTACTTGGAAAATAAACTGAATGCATTTTCAAAGGCAGAGAAGCCATTGGGACAGAGGAGATATGGACTTAAAACACAGGCATACATTTCACACCCGCACATTATTTTCACGTGGAATTTTACCACAATTTTTGATGGCATTTACTCTTTTTGCCATCCTCTAGATCCAGAAGGAGGGGTCAAAGAGAGAAAAGGCAGAGGAGAAGGAAAAGAGAAGAAAAGAATATTAGTTAAAGCTTAATTGACAGATGTTTTTCTGAGAGCTCATCACAAATTACTTGAGTGGTCTGGCTGAGGCTGCAAATGCAAACAGTGCTTTCCCCATCGCCAGAATCTCCCTGTGTATTCCTGACATCTTAGCTTTCCACTGAACGAGGACCTTGGGTTTAGTAGGTTTTTAATTAAAGGATGCTCTACAGCCCAGAGCGGGGCCTTGGCGCGTCAGATCTGTGTCTCGACACTGCCACCTCCTGGAGAGGACTCCACCGTTCCTTCTTGCCCGCCCCGCTGGGGCGGCCGCTCTGAGGTCTCCCATAACTAAGCAGCTGGCCCCTTACCTGGGGCTGTAGCACAGAGGCTGCTGCAGGTAAGAACAACTCATCCCCAGATGGGCGGACACGGACTGGTCCAGGGGGGTCGTGAGATGACCGGTGTCTGGGTAGCAGTTGTGGAAGCCACTGTGGATACTGCCAGGGTCACTCGTCTCAGCCGAGCCCTGGGGTGGGTGCACAGGCAGCGTCGCAGGTGCAGCTTCGGAGTCGAGAAGTGTCGCCGGAGTCCCCCGGGCTGCAGGTCTCACGGTGGGGCAGCATGCACCTGGGGGGACACAGTGGGGGTGCCTCTCTTTCTCACCCCGCTGTCAGGAAGAAGAGGAGCAGTATGCGACATGCAGAGGGCGAATGGCACTCACCTTTGACCTGCGGAGGCGAGCAGGAGTCTGATGCGGAATAGGGTGGGGTGTCTGGGAGCCGGCGTTGCCTGAGGATTGGAGACACGTTTTGCTTTTTTGTTGTAACCGATTGCATCATTCTATTTCTGTCACAAATGGGTACAGCACCCCCAGGCGCTCCAGGGGGAACGAGCCCACCGGACCACGCCCGGTGTCGTGAGTCAAGAGAGCGGGCTCTGGGTCAGACAGAGCTGGCATGAGGCCCCGATCTTCTACTTCCTAGCTGTGCCCGTGAACACGCACTCACTGCTCCAGGCCTCCCTCTCCTCGTCTACAAAACAGGATGATCGCTATGCCTTCCTCCCAGCACGTTGTGAGAATTAAGTGAGGTCCTGGGTACAAAGCCGTGACATAACTCCCCCACACACAGTGAGTGCTCAGCAAAGACTAACCAACACTATTGTTGCTTCTGAACGTGCTCAAAGCGCTCATGCCGGGAGCCGGCTGTGCACACCATCTGGCTGGACCACGACAGAATGTCACCACTGAGGCCTCGGTTCTCCGTCTGGGCTCCAGGAATCCCAAAGCTCCAGGAAGGAGCTCAGGGGTTTTACAACAGAAAATTTTTTTACATGTTTGGGGAAAAGAAATTCGTAACTTTTTTCTGTTTTATATATTGAGGTGCAAGTAAAATTTTATCTTTTACAGAAATGAGTACCACCACTAAAAAAGTGTGACAATTTCTGTTCCAAAGAACCTACCAGTTCCTTACGGCTCAGAAACTCTGTGATTCTAAGTCATACACAAGCACCACACCCTCCACTTGATCCTCTCGAACGATAGTAAGCTACCATGTGTTTCTTGGTTGATTAAGATTTCAATCTCATACAATGAAGAGAAAAGTCTGTTTTTATTATTTACTAGAAAAGTTATCTTTTCTCCTCAAATTGGTCTTTTATACTTTATTCACTTCTCATTAATAAGGGAAGAGAGAACATACATTTACCTTCCTCCAAAAACCCCACTCAGATGAAAGTAAAGAGGCACAAACACAAAAGGACATATAGCACACGAGCAGAGACCATAACAGACCGTATTTCAATTACATGTGGCAGGCAGAAATAGGATTGATGGTAACTGAGTTAGCAAAGTGGAAAAAGAAAAACAGGACTTCCTGGGGATGGCGGAGGAGACGTAGAAACCAGCAAGAAGTTATCCAATCCATACACAACTCCAGAAAAGTCCAGGACATTGGAGTCAACAGGAGCCTCTGAATTTGGGGGTAAGGGGGGCAGAAAACAAAAGCATTGGTTGAAAGTTTGATTAAGGACCAGCTGGACCCTTAGATCATCTTCCCCACCTGTACAGCCAGGCAACGACCTCCATCCGCCCACAGAGGCTGGAAAGCCTAACTCTCTGGAGAAACGGAACCAGGGAGACGGTGGAGCTGCTGGGCTAAAAACGGAAGGATCAATTAAAAGCCTAAACACTGAACTGCGAGACTCTCCTCAACTAGGCTTTGCAGGCATCCAGGTAGATTTCCCACAGTAAGAAACTGGAGGATTGTTCCCTAGAAAAGCTGAACGTCCTCGGGGGGGAAATGATAGTTTGAAATCACCTGAGGAAGTGGCCAGGCTCTGCCTGACCACTCTACAATGAAACTCACCCTTTGAGAACAATGGCTGGCCACAGAACTTCCTAAACTGGGACAAACAATGAAGGGTCAGACATTTTCAGAAAACCTTTAACACTGAAGACGGATAACAAACACCAAGATACATCAGGAATCACAACGCGCTCTTCTGCTTCCAATATGACTGGTGAGCTCCTGTCAGACCTGACCCTCCCACAGACAACAACTGTGAAGTCTGGAAATCTAAAAATAAACATATACCCGAAGATACTGGAAAGTGGGCAAAAGCAAGAAGATTCTGGAGGGGCACTGAAACTTGAAAGAGGTAATGGCATGAAGTGAGTTATCTGTTGACAGCTTTCAGCCTTAGGGCTGGGTGAAGTCAGAACCATAGAACAGCTGACACTCCAGGAGAAGCCCACAGTGTTTCTGGCCTAAAAAACCAGAGAACAGAGTTTGGGACAAACGTAGCTGCTGAAAGTGAAAGGGGAATGTTGGGAAAGACAGATACAGAGAGAGGAAACTCGAGATTCTGAGCATAAACTCCAGCCAAGTGTCTGACCAACTCCTGAGCCGTTGATGCATGGAGCTGACTGCACACAGCCCAACCAAAGAAAAAAGACTGATCTGAAATTTGAGCTACTTCCCAAGAGACAGAATTTACAATCTAAATCTAAGCAAAGTAATTGCCTGGTAAAACAAAAATATATATCCTCTTCAGAGGGCTAAGAAAGAATCCAGACATTCACAATGTCCACGATACCATTCAGAATTACTCCACAAACAAAGAACCAGGAAAATGTGGCCTGGCCTCAGGAGAAAGAACCATCAATGGACACACACCCAGAGATGATCCAGACACTGGATTAGCAGACAAGGATTTAAAGCAGCTATTGTAACTACCCTTAACGGAGCAGAGAAAAATGTGTTTGTAAAGAACAAAAAAATACAAAATCTCAGCAAAGAAAGAAACTATAAAGAAGAACTAAATGGAAATTCTAGAATTGAAAAGAAAATTCTAGAAATAAAAATTAAAAAGATCACTGGGTGGTGTATCAGAAGAACTTGAAGACAGATCCTCAGATATCATCCAATCTAAAGAGCAGAGAGGAAAAAATGAATTAAAAAAGAGAGAGAGAAAAGGAGATTCATGAACCTGTGGAGAGGACGGAGCAGAAAAATGGTTAAAAATACGATGGCCGAAAACTTCCAAAGGTGAAAAACGTACCTTTAAAAGTTCAAGCAGCTCAGCAAATCCCAAGCCATACAGACACGGAGAAAAGCACACCTAGGTCAGCGAGTCAAATCACCATAAACCAAACATAAACAGAAACTCTCAAAAGCAGCCAGAGGAAAACAACACATTACGTGTGGCGTGACAGTGATTCAGAGGAGCACTGACTTCTCATCAAAATTTCCATAGGCGAGAGACAGCACAACAATGTCTTTAAAGTGCCAGAGAAAAACAAAACTGACAATGCAGAGTTTTATATCCAATGAAGATATCCTTCAAGAATGAAAGCAAAATAAAGACGTTTTCAAATAAAAAAATTAAGTGAATCGATGAACAGACATGCACAATACAATATGCTAAAGACATCATTCAGGCTAAAGGGAAATGATGCCAGATAGGAACTTGAAACTTTAGGGAGAAATGAAGAGAATAAAAAATGGTATCTATCTGAATGCAAATCACTTTTTCTCTTAATTTCCTTAAAATACATAGGACTATTTAAAGCAAAAATTATGACATTATCTTGTAGAGTTTATAACACATGTAGGTGTAATACTCATGACAACTATAGCATAGAGGATGGGAGAGGGGGATAAATGGAATTATACAGTTGAATATCTCTATATTTTATGTTAAGTGGTACAATATTGATTCATTAACTCTAAGTAGATTGTAAAAGGTTAAATAATACAAAGAAGTATAGCTGAAGTCAACAGATAAAATGGAATTCTAAAATTATTCAAATAATACAAAGTAAACCAGAAAAAGTTACAGAGGAGTAAGAAGTAGAAGGGATAAAAAGAAGACAAACAATAAAATGGCAGAATTAAATACAATATCAATAATTACTTTAAATGTAAATGGAATAAACACTCCAATTAAAAGGCAGAGATTACAGGAATAGATTTTTAAAAAGCAAGACCCAACTGTATGTTGCCTGCAAGACACACTTTAAATATAAAGACTCAGATAAGTTGAAAGTTAACGGAGAAAAAAAAATGTGTATGAAAAGGCAGAAGTGATTTCATGAATAATAGCTAAAATAGACTTCAAAATAAAGAGTATTACTAAAAATAAAGAGGCTCATTCCATAATAATAAAAGTCCTTTCATTAAGAAGGCAAGCGAGCATGATTGTTTATGTATTTAATAGAAGTTCAAAACACATGAAGCAAAAATTGACAGCATTAAAAGGAGAAATAAATAACTGTACATTCGTAGTTGGAGATTTTAACATCACCTCTCATCAACTGATAGAACAAAATAGATAGAACAAACTGACAGAACAGAAAAGTCAGTAATGGCATAGATCATCTGAGGAATGCCTGGAAGAAGAAAAGGAACTAATGTGTTTTCATACTGGGAGAAATTCTGCAGTTCTCTTCAGAGAATTTGAGGGAAGAATTGACGACGACTACATTCAAAGCTAAGCAAATCATGAACACAAGGCCATGATTCAAGAAAAACAAAAATTTCAAGAAAGAAAATAGAATCATAGTAAATTATATGTGAACACATAGTGGTAATAACGTAAGCCCTGGGTATCGACCTCACCAAAAATTTTTGTACAACTTTATGCTATTGGGAGGCTGAGGGTAGAAGGGGTGTCCCACATGGTATAAGAAAGTTAAGTCCTCCCAGAAGATAATATTAGGTTGTTAACATGTATAAAGCAAAAAAGAGTGATACAAAAACATCATTTAGATATAAGGTGGTAGAAATTCCTAAAAGAGTTGAAAAGTATCTGCCGCTGGCAGAGCCCGCTCAGGGTCACCAGAGGAGTGGGGCGGGGGATGGCTGGTTTTCATTATACGCCACATGTACGGGACCATTTGATTTCTTAAATTCTGCACAGGTATCACTCCCATAAACCTACAAATTAAATTTTGTTACTGACTCTGTGATCTCACAATTCCACATTCCAGGCTCTAGGCAGCTGTTCAGTTACCTTTACATTAGCCACGCCACTGAATTCAATAATGTTATAAAAAGTGAAAATCACAAGTATCAACTCCCTCAAGAAACATGGCATGGCCTGTTATAAACGGGAAGGCAGGCTCTGTCCAGCAGGTCTTGTGCTGAGTGGCAGCAATGTGTGTGGGTGGTTTTAAAGCAAGGATTTTAAATGTTTAAGTGTTTTCCTTACAGTTTGTCCTCCTTCCAAAGCTCACTACAGCCACTCCTTTATTTCACTGCATTACACACTCGATGAATTTTAATACA